CCGTCCGTCCGCTCGTCCATTCGTCCTGCGTTGCCGCGCGGATTCAATGTCCATGCAAAGTAAACGGCGGCCTCGGAACGGCTGTCAATTATCCGTTATATACGGCCCTGGCCCTCGAACCCATTCTTAACGACCCCTTAAAGCTGGACCCCACGGTCCACGGAGCCCATCCCCTCGTGACCGTGTACATCGCGCGCCCGAAAACTCGGCCGAGACGCGAGGAGAGCTTCTTCTTCTTCTTCGACGACACGAACGACCAGAAAGACGAACTCGAGGAGGAAGGGGTAAAAAGGCAGAAGCGGTTTCCGGGAATCGTTTGGTATTCCAACTGTACCGACACTCGCGGCACCTTCCTCCTTCAAACTGCGGACAGATTCCTCTCCGATCGTCGTCGGAGAGGCTGATACAGGGACGATCGCTTCTCTATAGCCACGCCGCGAAGTGTGTCAGAATTGCAAATGGACAGAGCGGCAGCCGACGAAACACAGGGATCCAACGCAGCCGATGGAAAGAGGGCGCGAATTCCACCGTGTAATTCTCTCAGATGGATTCGAAGCTCCAGAGAGGAATTCGAGGCTGTGTCGAAAGGAAGCCTGCGGTTTTGGGAACCGTCTGGGAAAGGTTCCTTTCCATTTTACCACAGAATTTCTATTCATTGTCCCTGTTTCTAGAATTCCTTTCCCCTACCAGAGTCAAATCTTCCGATAGCTTGCTTAATTTATTCTTGGATGCTTTATCGAATACCCAACCTATGAAGGCTGTATCAACCTGAGTAGAGTGCTACTATTTCAGGCTTCTCAATCTCATTGTATATGTAAAGGGGCAATACGATTCGATGAATATTGCCAGTATTGTATTAATAACATAATCCTTAGATAAACTATATTATTTATCCACAGATATTGAGAACACTGAAATGTACTGATCACCCAACTTGAAGCATCGTGCCCCCAATCGAGTAACGTAGAAACAAAGAATCAGTTAACGAGGGATGCCAGTTAGGTTAACCGAGGAACGATCGAAACGCGGAGAAGAATGTCGGGGTTAACAAGTCCGAAACATCATCCCTCCGATCGTAAACGCCAACACCTCGTAATTATAACGATACGTTCCTTTCGAACGTAACGAGCGAAAAGAAGCCCAGAGTTTCAAGCTTGTACGCTTTTACGCGTTGGGGCAGCTCGTTACGATGATAGCAGGGAATCGCAAATCAATCATACTTCTTCGGATGCTTCGATGGGTTAATTTGACCGAAGCACGAAGCAGTATTTACTTCCGACTCTAAAATTATTATAGCAAAAATTCTTCACTCACCGATCGAAGTTTCCCACGGACTGTCAGCTTTTCGGAGGATAAAGTTTGGTTAGGTGTCTCGATCTTCTTAAATTCTTCCGGATTTATACGGCAATTTAAATTCTTCCGAGTATCGTTACGCTTCGAGTAACGTACAAGTTGGAAAAAGTTGGAAGAACACGAGAAATTTGAAAAAATTCGAGACCCGATTCCGTGCAAGAAACGATGGATGACGATGCTCGACTATTCGATCGATCTGCGCAGGGTGAAAATTCAGGAAGGCACAGATTACAGCCATGTTCGCGTTTCTTCTACCGTTGCATCTTTTATGCGAGTCGTCGAAAAACGCTCCGCGGCCCGAAATTCAGCTGGAATTTTTCTGATCACCTGACCGTAGGACAGGGACGCGTTTTTCGACGGCGCCGCGATTGAAAGCACCTCGAGCGTGGAATACGCGTCGAATTCGTCGAAGACGCGTCGGACCCACGGATAATGGTTTATTAACAAAGCGTTGCCGAGGCGTGCGAAGGAAGTGACAGAGCGGTCTCGAGCGTCAAGGGGCGAAAGGAGAAAAGAAACGCGAAGGGAGAAAGGAAGGATTCCGACGCCAGGAGTTCAATCATGAGTTTCGTCGACGCCTTCGAGAGAAGGGTCTTGACACAACGGGGCTTTAATTACGCCGATATCACGGTAATTAAGCCGATCAATGCGTACCATTGTACAGCGACTACGGGGCCCCATCGACGCTAAGGCCCGTCCATAATCACGGTCATGGACCCCCTTCGTTCGACACAAAAGCACCCCGTCCCGTGGGACATCGGTACACACTGTAACTGCACTCCGATCTACCTCTCTCTTTTATGGGGAAATTGCGTGAAAAGAGGCACAAAATCGACTGGATTAATTGAAATACTGCACCATTTTGGGCAACAAGGCACGAGCACTGCAACTTGCTGCCATTTTTTATCGACTACTTTTTGCTGGTTATTACGTTGTTGCATATTCAAAGGAGACCTACAAGTCTCAGAGAATTTGATGACATAAATGTAATACATGTCACATGTGACACATTAATTGAAAGCTTAAGATTCTGCTCAAATTAAACTTTCTCTGCTTTGAATTGCAAGATCTGCAATTGATATTCAGGTAAACTAATAGCAAACAACGCGAACAGTAATTTTCATCGAACTGGAGGTTTGATATGCCATGCGTGTTCTTTAATGGTAATTTTATGTCATCAAATTATGTCAGGATCGGGGTATCGTATATTTCGAGATAATACCCTGCTTTCGGATCCTCTTTGCTTAATGATGCAACATGTTCCTAGTATTTCTTCGATTCAAAGGAAATTGTGTGTGAAATTCATAGCTTGAGGCAACCACGGTCTCGTGCCACGTGCTCGTTTATCGCTGTAATCGCGGTTTGAGCAAGCATCCGCACCAGAAAATCGCTTCGAATAGCTCCTCCCTAAAGCGTGCTCGCTGGGAGGTTTTCGATCACCGAATACGTCTCATCTTTTCAATAGTCGATTAAGATTATATTGCAATCATCTATACAATATTATAGGTTCAAGTTTACTATTGTAGAATACCCTCCTTAGATCTTCCATATTTATCCAAAATAGTACTTTAGCTCATATTCATATTACGCTGACTAAATTCAAAGTTATCTTATTTCAAAACTTCAAACTAAATCCACAAGTTATAAAATCGACAAGTCCCAAATTAATCAGTTCCAAATCTGACATATCGAATCAAGACACAGATCAAACCCGAAGAAGCAAACTGCAACATCGTCAAAAAAACGCCAACACGACTAAAGAACACCCTCCAGTTAAACCTCCGTACCGAAACAAACAAATCTCTTTTAAATATTTCAAAAGGTGCAGCGTCATTGGTTCTTTGTACGTCGCCCTAATTACAAGCAACACCTCCAAGGACGAGTTTCATCAAGCCGAGGACCGAGTTATTCGATGGATGATGAACCGCAAGAATGCTTTGTCACTGTTTATCGAGGTTCATTCTTCGCGTGTAAAAATTCCCGGTGGTGGGACTCGAAAGGGACAGGGAAGATTTGTTTGCGGCCGCCCGCACCGTTTCCACTGTTTGTCGTTGGAGTTAGGGGACAATCTAGCCTTCACAAAGCACCGCTAGTTTCCGAACTTCCCTATTATTTGTGACGATGAAATATGAGTGGAAGATGATGGTCAATCATTTTTAGCGATTGGGAAATTTTTGTACTTTGTATCTTTGTTAATTGTAAGCGAGGGAGAAGTTGAGGAGAGTGTAGGTTTAGAAACTTGGGGGGAGACTTAATATTAATTATGTAGGCTCTAATATTTGGAGGAACCATATCCCGAGGTGTGCATGTCCTAAGGTCCTTATATTCGGAGGCCTAATCTTTTAAGGGCTTCACTTCGCAAAATTCCAATCTTGCAAGACTTCCATCTCTCAAGGTTCCAATCCCTCAAGGTACAAATCTACCAAGGTTAAAATTTCTCGAAGTTCAAATATCCCAAGGTACCAATCTCTCGAGGTTCCAACCTCCCAAGGTTCCAATTTCTCAAAGTTCCAATCTCTCAAGGTTCCAATCTCCCAAGGTTCTAATCTCTCAAGGTTCCAATCTCTCAAGGTTCCAATCTCCCAAGATCCCAATCTCTCAAGGTCCCAATCTCTCAAGGTCCCAACCTTCCAAGGTTCCAAACTCCCAAGGTCCCAATCTCTCAAGGTCCAAATCTCCCAAGGTCCAAATCTCTCAAGATCCCAACCTTCCAAGGT